CTTACCTCATCGAGGTGGTGCTAGGTGACGGACTTGTCTGAAATGGCGAGGACAATACTCTTCTCAACAAAAAGGGTCATTAGGTCTACCCGGCCAAATTAATGAGCTGTACATCTATCTCTCTGCGCATCTTGAGCACGAGCGCAGGCAAGAGGTTGTGAGATCGATTCCTCAGCGTTTCTGTACTTTTACTTTTCGCGAAGTAATAGCGAACTCGCTAAGGAATCGATCCCATGATCTCTTGCCCGCGAACCTGTACCATTACCGCTGGCCTTTCTGGCTTCACAACTAGGTTCAGAGAATTGCAGGCAATGAAGGTATACTTGAGCGGGTAGGTTTATCTGGTGGCCTTTCCTACTTGGCTAGCAAAAATATAATACTTGCACGAGGAGCGCTAAGAATCATGCTCAGATTTTTGGATAGAGATCAATCATTCCGAGGGAATTACTCAGAACTGGCTTGTCTTCTCAGTTTCAGTCGGTGTTTTCCGAATGAAAAGGTTCGTCCCATTCGAAGGAAAAACTATGATTTCAAATTTCCGCACACAAGAAATCGTTCCGGCAAGCTACTGTTCGAAGTTATCTACGATTTTCTTCACAGTACTGTTCGTACTACTGCACTCTAAAAACAGTCGGCCGTTCAGAGGCATCCATTTGATGTTTTAGAAAATTTCACTGATAGAAATAGTAGCAAATAGTTAGCAACTTCAGCTGAATACTTGAGTGTCTTAACAACTTGAAGATGCCGCACGTACGACGCAAATTTATTCTTGTGTATGAAATGCTATCGCTCTGAGATGTCAGAACAATGATAAATTAACAAATGATCAATCGATATCCTAATAACAAGCGTGATATGAAACGAGATTCGAATAACAATGACGATGGCAGGAGCTATGAAAAACCAACAATCCGATGGATCTCGTCCATATTCTGTTCGGCAATCGATCGTGCCCTTTTCCCATTCTCGAATAGGATTTCATCAACCTGGAATTCAGAAGAACCCTCTATGCATCAACGGTTAATCACCGCTACAAAACGGAATGAGAACCTCTTTTCCTTTCTCCAACGACAGGAATTTCTCTCTGATCGGTAGGAATCGCTCGGCTACAGCTCGCGACAACTGCTTTTTCAGCTCGAACTGATCCCAACCGCTTTCTTCTACAGCTGATATACTTGTGCCTGTCACAGCACGGTAGAGATCAATCTGCAAGGATCCAATATCAGAGAGGATTCGATGAATTCTTCTTTTTTTCAAATCACTGGTACCAGATTGCTGATGGCCGGTCGGGTGTCAGGACTGTACGTGAGTCGCGATTCGGTGTCACTGACCGCTTTCCGGCATTTCTCCTCAATCTCCTCGGCTGAGTCGCTAATCTGAACAGAAACAGTGTCCCGAAGATGATTCAACGGGATGATGATGTGTGCTCTTGAAACTCCTATTCTCAACCTCACCCTGGCAAATGAATGACAACAGTTTCGGCTCCTAAATGCCTCGGTGGCCATCACTTTGTCAAGGGCTGTAATAGGACATGGGCCTCAACCTCATGAATGTGAGGAAGCTACGAAATGGTAGCGTCGGAGAACAAGGTGTGTAGCTCGCTTCATTGGGCTAGCCAAAACGGGAAGGCCTCGCCTACACGGCGCTAACCGTTCCCCGAAAATGCGTTGGTATTGGAGCTGTGCTTATCAAAACGCACTATGACAGGAGAATAGACTTCTAGTGAA